AAAAAAACAAAATCTATATTTGATCCGATTTCGATTTCTCTAGTTGAAATAACTATCTAATATAGTATTTTATACCGGATGTTCATAGATACGATAGTGATATTTATTTCATTGTATATACTGTTTCTTTTTTAAATTTCTAAAAAAAAAAGAAAAGAATAGTCTTTTATGCTTGGCCGTAGTTTAACACGATAAAATTAATTAAGGAGCATGCTGTTTTGCATTAGCTGCTTTTGATCGTAATTTATTAAGAACTTGTTCATCAGTGGGAATATAACATTCGCTTATTGAATTAGGTTGAAGAATTTCTAAAGAAAATAAAACATAATTCTATGTTAATATTTAATTAATCCCTTTTTCAAATGACGTACTTGGTGTTACTTTTCCAGTTCGATATCGAAATTTTCCATCTTTTAATCTTACAATATCTTCACAAGTATCTAATACTTCTTGAGTAACTACTGTATGCTAAAATATATAGTTTAAATAGTTATTACAATAGAAGAAAATAAAAAATTCTTACTGAAAAATCTACTTCTCGTATTATACTTGATTCATTAGTCTTGACACAAAGAAAAATAGCAAGTGCTCCATCAGAATTTATTTGATTATCTGCAATCTATAAGAAATAGTATTCGGTTTTTTTTCTTCTATTAAATATAAGTAGAAGAATTACTTTTAAAACTTGAAGCGAATCATTTGCAAGTAATGCTTTAGCTATAGTAAATGCATTTGGTGTATTGAGTCTATTAGAACTGATATTAAATTCTTCTAATGCAGCATTTTGTTGAATACAATCTGCTAAAATTTGTCCACCATCTGGTCCAAAACCATTCATTTGAAGATTACAACGTTTTAAACGAACATTTTCCTTTAATTAAATAAATATATTTATGTTAAACAATAACAAACAAATACATACTTTAATTCCATGTGCAACATCTATAGCACTTCGTCCTCGAATTTTATTCCAACTTAAATCAATTGCTTCTAATGATTCATTACCACCTATAAAAATCGATAGATACAATTTAAAACCAATAACAAGATTATCTTACTAATAAATGCGCCGAGTACTTTACCACATTCTTCACCAAAACAATTATGACTTAAATTAAGCTCACGAAGTGTTTTATTATGCTATAACAAAATAATTTTCTATAACAGTTTTTTTTAGTAAATACACTTAGAATTATTACTTCAAATGCTTCAATCAATAGATTAGCATCAACATCATTGAATTTATTTCCTATATAAAATAATAATTCAATATTTTATGAAAAAAAAATATTCTTTTTACCAGATAGATTAATTTTTTTTAAATTACGATTTAATGTTAACATTTTACATATTTCTATTGTGCCTACACCACCAGCGCCACCACCAAGACGATTATCAGCAAGAGACTATTTTACAAAAAAATAAATAACTCAATTTTTTTTCAGTTATTTCAATACATACTAATTCTGTAATAAATTCATTTGCTACAATCATTTCAGAAAGATATGTTGCAGCTTGTTGTTGTAAATAATTTCCATCTAAGAATAAACGTTCAATACTAATATTCGACTATGAAAAAAGAAAAACTATTCTGTATAAGAATATATATAATTAACAAGAATGTTTATTCATACACTAAGTGCTTTTGCTATTGCTCGAATATCATCAGTATTAAATTGATGATGACGTAAGATCATTTCTTTATCTTGTATATGTGCCATAAAATATGAGCATGGAACAATTTTTGATTGTACACATAATTCATGATATTGTGCTCGACCTGTTATATCATGATCTGATGAAATAAGAATTTCTATAATAAAACACAAAAAATGAATTTTATAATAAACTGATTCATTTTTTTACCTGATTCAATATCTGTATCATAACCATCTTGTGACGATGTAGGATCTTCACTGGATGCAGAAGATAAGATATCATTAGTATCATAATCGAGAAAAATATCATCATTAAGCTGATGTGATGGTAAAGATTTTTGTTGTTCTTGTTCTGATAAAGCTACTGATGGTTGAGTGGGTAGTTTCTTTTGAATTTCTTTCAGAATTGTTCCATAGACTTTATCTTGTCGAATTTCAGTAAGAAATGTTGTTGGCACACGTGATAAATCTGATAAATTTAATATTTCATCAATATTTGTTTCTTAAAAAAAATAATAAAACAACTTTTAATATATTTGAAAGCAATTGTTTTCTTTTTATTCTACCATCAACTTCAGTTATAATTTTCAATGGTTTATGATGTCTTGAGTCTTTTGAATTATTTTCAATAGCAATTGATAAACAACTACTTGTTCTAGTTTCACTAGAATTTGATTTCGATAGAGCAACATCACGTTTTCTTGTAGAAGGTGTTGTTTTAGGTGTAGTTCCTGCTATAATATTACTTCGAACTTGATCTGTTTGTCGTCGCTGGATATATAGAAGAAGAAAAAAAAGCAAAATTTAATTAATATAAAAAATAAAATCAAGTTTAAATTTGAATACCTGTTGACTTTTCACAGGCATTGCTTGACTTCTACGTTTTTCTTATAGACTATTCACATTAAAATGTGTAGCAAGAGTTTTTAATAATATGTTGTGTTTACACAACTCTGACGTCTACTGTCAATGAGCACGATTGTGTTGTTATGATGAAGGCATACACACATACGATTGAAAAGTATTATTTTTTTTACTCTTTCTCTCTCTCTTCGGCTCGTCGTTTCTTTTAGTTCCGGTAGTGTATGATGAAGAATGCAAAAAATAAATTATTGTATGCAATATAATATTCATCAACTTTCTTTTACATATAAATAGCTTCATTTTTCTAAGTTACGATATTGTTTATAAATAAGAACTGTCTAAGGATTAAAGATATTTTTAGTCTTAATATAATGAATAGATTTTTTTAAGTCTTTTTCCGCTACGATCACTA